TTCAGCAACATTTCATTTTCATCAATACCATAATAAGCTTTAATTATGTAATTATTCCACACTTCAATTGATTTGAAGATTCTTGATATGCACATGTTTTTCATGAGTCTAGTTGCATTCATAAAGATAAATACATGTTAAGAATTACTAAGTTTTGTCTTTTAAACACTAAATATTTTAAATGGTATGTACACAATAGAGAACTCTCAGGATTCTTGTCCAAATCAAAAAGTTACTTTCTTGCAAGATTATAACTGCCCTTGCCAGCAAATTATAGCAGATGTGAACAGATTCATCTCTGAAGTTTCTGGATCTCTTCTTTTAACAGGAAGAGCCTCCTGAGACCTGTTGCAGTTTTCCACTTCACTAAAAATTGCTGAGATTACTGCAAGATGAGTTTAGACACTGCAAATTTGACACCATCAGTTTAGGATTAAACAAAGACTGTGAATGGCTAGCCAAGTACAAAAGCAGTTTTTCCTCTCTTGTTGTTCACACCTCCACATCAGCTGCTAGAAGTAGGCCTCACCCTCCCTGACTGAATTAACCTCGTTATCTCTAGCCTGCATATTTATACCTACCTCTGGAAATTTCTACTATATGCATCTGACGAAGTGGGTCTTTGCCCATGAAAGCTTATGCTCCAATACATCTGTTAGTCTATAAGGTACCACAGGACTCCTTGTCACTTTTGCAGATCTAGACTAACATGGCTACCTCTGATACTTGAGGAAATGCTATTAGATACCTCTAGGACATACAGGCTATGTCTAGACTGGCATGATTTTCTGGAAATGCTTTTAACGGAAAAGTTATCCGTTAAAAGCATTTTCGGAAAAGCGCGTCAAGATTGGCACGGACGCTTTTCTGCAAAAGCATTTTTTGCGGAAAAGCGTCCGTGGCCAATCTAAACGCGCTTTTGCGCAAAAAAGGCCCAATCGCCATTTTTGTGATCGGGGCTTTTTTGCAGAAAACAAATCTCAGCTGTCTAAAGTTTTGTGCAAAAGGGACTTTTGCCCGAACGGGAGCAGCATAGTATTTCCGCAAAAAGCACTGATTTCTTACAGTAGGAAGTCAGTGCTTTTGCGGAAATTCAAGCGGCCAGTGTAGACAGCTGGCAAGTTTTTCCGGAAAAGCGGCTGATTTTCCAGAAAAACTGGCCTGTCTAGACACAGCCACAAGGTCTAAAGACTGCAGATTTAATAATGAGTTATAAATTTTATATTTAGTTATGCATTCTTTAACAAACTAGAGAAATATAAACATGGAGCTATGGTAAGGTGGGTGCATAACGTGCTGAATAATCATTCTCAGAGAGTAGTTATCAATTGTTCACAGTCGTGCTATAAGGGCATAACAAGTGGGATTCTGCAGGGATCTGTTCAGGGTTTGGCTCTGATTACTATCTTTATCAAGGATTTAGATTGTCATAGAGCAGTGGTTTTCAAAGTAGGGTTGCAGGCCTCTGCCTGGGTAAGCTGCTGGTGGGCCTGCAATATTTTGTTTGTCTAATTGTCTGAAGCTGCTGCTTCCTCCCCCTCACTGGAAATGGCGAACTGCAGCGAACAGGCACTGTGAGGTTCCGTAACTATGGACACTTAGATAAACAAAGCATTATGAGCCCTCCAGCAGCTTACCTGCTTGCAGATGATACCAAACTGGGAGGAGTTGCAATTGCTTTGGAGGATAGGGTCATAATTCAGAATGATCCGGACAAAATGCAGAAATTGTCTGAGGTAAATAGGATTACGTTTAATAAGGACAAATGCAAAGTACTCCATTTAGGAAGGAACAGTGTTTCACACATACAGAATGGGAAGTGATTGTCTAGGAAGGAGCACTGCTGAAAGGAATCTAGGGGTCATAGTGGACCACAAGCTAAATATGAGTCAACAGTGACTGTTGCAAAAAAACAAAAAACCCACAAACATGATTGTGAGATGCATTAACAGGAGTGTTGTGAGCAAGACATGGGAAATATTTCTTCCACTCTACTCTGAGCTGATTAGGCCTCAGTTATAGTATTGTGTCCAGTTCTGGGTACCACATTTCCAGAAAGATGTTGACAAACTGGAAAAATTCCAGAGAAAAGCAACAAAAGTTATTAAAGGTCCAGATAACACTACCTAAGTGGGGACACAATAACAGCTTTCAAGTACCACCTACAAGGGTGTTACAAGGAGGAGGAAGAAAAGTTATTCTCCTTAACCTGTGATGGTAGGACAAAAAGCAATGGGCTTAACTTGACGCATGGGAGGTTTAAGTTGGAATTAACAAAAACGTCCTAACTGTCAGGGTGGTTAAGTATTGCAATAAATTGCCAATGGAAATTGTGGAATCTCCATCATTGGAGATTTTAAGAGCAGGTTAGACATACACCGGCCAGGGATGATCTAGATGATGCTTGGGCCTGCCATGTGTGCAGGGGACTAGACTTGATGATCTCTCGAGCTCCTTCCAGCCCTATAATTCTATGATTGTCTTTGGAAATGATTAGTTATTTTGCTTAGATTAAAAATTGCCATAATTTTTGCAAAATAAATAAGTAGATTTTAATACAATCATGTTGTGTAGCCACATGGAAATAAATGTTATTTTCTGCTTGCATTTCAGTTGCAGATTTAATTGATGTAACAGTGCAGAAAACGGAGACAAAATTTTATTTCTTCTGCCTTTTAATTACCATCTGCTAACATAAGATTATGTTTCTTAAAGTGACTGGGTCTACCTGCCAGCTGAATTTTTCGCCTGACTTCCTCGAGCTCTGGCAGCTGCCTTCATTACTGGTGAAAATGGCATGGCAAAGCTAGCATGAAAAATGAGGCTAAGCACCTGTCACATCATTTTTCTGCAAAGAAACAAAGAAAACACATGAAACTCAATGCTCTATACACTATTCTCAGTGACAATTTGCTATGAACTAGAATAAAGCATCAGTTTGTTGCTGAATACAATAACAAGCCTGACATATAAAGGCACTTCTAGCATCCTGCATATTTATTTATGATAAATAGAAAAGATAATCTTGAGAGTAAACAAAATGTGAGAAAAGGATGAAAATATGTAGAAGAGATCTCAACCAGGATTATTAAATTTCTTCTGCATGTAGGATCAGCTCCTAACAGTGAATTTCACCTAGCAATCAGTATTTAGAGACAAGCCTCTCTACTAATTATTGTTCATTCAAGGGTATCCTTTTGGGCCTCAGCTCAGTAAGGTACCATACACATCTCTAACTTTAATCATGTAAGTACTCTCATTGAAGTAACATGTTCTTCAGCACCTTGTTGAATTGATCTCTGTAATGTGGATCTAAGAGTTGGTGCCTTTTAACCAGAAATGTAGTGTAAAGGGGACCGCACCTCATTGGAATAAGAAGGTCTTCCTGGAGCTTGTTATGCATCAAAATCTGCCAGACAGTGTGTGAGGTCAGGGAAAACTATGTACCCCAAAGCCCCTGCACCCTTTCCTATATCCCAGTCCCCTGTTGCAGGTCACAACTCCTTCCTGCCCTAGGTCACATCACAAACCCCTGCACCCCAGTCCCCCATCCCAGGTCAAAACCACCTCCTTTACCCAGGCTCCCTCCCAGACACCACTCTCCCTCCTGCACCCCAATCTCTTACCCCAAGCTCCCTTCTGCACCCAGACTGCATCCCAGACCCCGCACTTCCTCCACTAATATCATGGAAGAATGTGGCCCTCAACCACTTTCCAAAAATCTTGGTGTGGCCCCTATTAAAAATTATTGCCCACCCCTGCCTTAGAGACTAACAAAAAATATAGACTCATGAGCTTTCATGGATAAAACCCACTTCATCAGATGAATTGGACAACATTAAGCTTTCAACAACGACCTCACCTGGACTACTCACATGGTATTTTCTATTCAAGTCTTCTCAGCCAAGTATTAAACCTAAAGTTAAATCAAGAGAAAAGCCTAGTTTACACTGGAGAATTTATATTAAAATTCCATTAGTTTTAAACCTACTAGGAATTAAATATAGGGTATGTCTTCACTGCAGAGTTAACTAAATGTATTTATACTTGAGATAAAAAGTCCTAGCTGTCAAGCCAGGCCTGGAGATTGTGTCTAATGTCAAAAATGGGGCAGGACTTTGTCAGGCTGTGGTAAAAAATCTAAGTAGTTCTCTACTTAAGAATACGCTAAGTGATTTTTCAGTCAGTAAGTAAATGTGGTGTTCATACTGTAATCATTTCAATAATCCTTTTTCAACACACTATTCATACAGCACAGGGTCAGGTATTCTGGAAATTCTTGGTTTAATTTTATGTAGTTAATATACTCGTATCAGCCAGAGGACCACTGCAAAAATAAAAAGATATATATTTTGAACATATATTCAGAGGTTCTAATGGAGGTTCAGCAAGTGTTTTCAAGGTATGAGGTTTATTTAACTTTACTGAAATATTAAAGGTTGTCCAATTTTGGGTTTCGATGGGCAAACACATGGCAAAGACAGGAAGGTTTGCTTTCATACTGTGCCAGATAAAGTTGTTAGAAAAGATTCCATAAAGAAAGTCATGATATTTAGCCATGTTAGAATGAACAGAAGAGTTTATGGGACAACTATATATGAGGTTTTTTTTAATTTCATCCATACTTATGTGAAATATTTTGCATGAGAGACTCTTATGAAATACACTAGAGTGTTTACATGGAAGCAAGAAGAGGTTTATTACTTTAATTTTTTAAGATTTCTAATTTTTGTGGTAACAGAAGTGAAATATTACCTCAATTATTAGCAAGTCTATGAGGAAACCATTAATAGCAGTGTATTTTCATATGCATCGGAATGAAAGGTTCAAATCCAGGGCAAATGACACTAATGCTACATGGGGAGCTATTCATTTTACTTTTATTGCAGTATATTATAATTAGTATTTTTGAATTACAACTTCCAATACCCACGTGAATAAAGGATTCCTACCTCCTTAATGTATCTGTGTGCCATGGTACAGTAATGGCCATTTATTTTGCAGCAATGCACCCAGAGCTTTGAGCTCTTCAAATCTCAAACACTAAGTAGGTCTGGTATATATGAATTCCACTCTGGATTTGGATGATGCTATAGAAAACCCAAGTGCTGCAGGAAGTGGTGCTGATGATTCAGTAGGTGGCACTCTTCCCTTTGAAATGGTACCGAACCAGTGCAAGAGCACATTGTAAGGGACTATTGCTGCAGGAGATGCTGTCTGAAATTAGACTTACAACTGAGGTCCTTTGCCACTTGAAGTGAGAGATCTCATACCACTTTCTCCACCTTCCCTCCCATCTCCCCAACAGAAGTGCTAACCTCATGTCCTGGTCTTTGAGTAATAACATTGCCATATTTCCTGCTACAGTTTCAATAGAATACAATATTTGTCACTTCATGTGCAAAATGTTTTATCCGAATACAGTGAATAATAAGAGTTGCTCCTTTCCACCCCAGAGATAAACATAAAAATGGCCGCAGTGGGTCATACGAATGGTCCATCTGATTGGATGGCTGCAGTTCAGTGGTAGTGAAGAAATTGCAACAACAGAATATGTTACGTGCTTGTCGCAATCCATTTCCAAAGAATATAGAGACCCTGGATGGAACCTTGATTTAAAGGTAAGTTTTCAAAATAACTTCCCTCTTTGCTAGTGCTACTTTAGGGTGATTCAGTGTTTTCACGTTTAAGCAGTAACTTGCTCAGTGAAGCAACTTATTTATTTTAATAACCAATGTACATGAAGATATTTTTACAGTAACTTTATTTAAAAAATTAAGAGAGACAGAGGCAATCTCATTTTTCTATTTGTTGGAATACATGTAGAACAAATTAGAGGTTGATCTTTTAAAACTGATATGAAAAGTTTCAGAACATTTTTTAGATCAAGCCAGATAGTCTGACCTTCTGTACATACAGGCCACCGACACAACCCAGCACTCTCACATGAAACCCAACAGCCACAGAATTACACCAAAGCAAGCAGGACAACCCACTGGAGACAAAGACTATTTTGTGCCACAGGAAGAGAATAGAAGGGACCAAACAGAGCCCCCTCCCGCAATGGCAAAGAAAAGATGAAGTGGGATATGCCCACAAAGTGATCTGTACCACATTCTGCAGAGGAAGGTGAACCTCCCTTTCTAGGATGATTTGTTTAATGATGAAAAGACTGACACATGGAACCATATTATATACGCACTAGTTTGCGATGATGTACATGACGGTTTTATCATTTTTGTAGGTTACACAATATAGACTTCTTATTTTCCCACATATGGACTCTGCCAATACTTGAATCTCTCAAACCATTCAGTCTCTAGTCACTCTAATACTAAATAATGTGGAATAATGTGTGTTAGTGCATGCTAGATGTGTACTCATGCATATATGTGTATCTGCGTGCAGATGTGGGCATCAGTTTTGACAGATTTATTTATATAGGTATCTGGACAGGCATGCGTTTCTATATTTGTGCTCTATGGATTTGTATTTGGATTTTAGCAGTGGGCCTTCAATGGATCAATCGCAGCTGCGATAATGTGTGGTACTAAATCCACATATAAAATTACAGTAACTTTTGTGAACAAACACATGGAGCTGGTTATGAAAATTGGGAAGAAGGGAGGGAAAGAATGATGAAAATATTTATGAAATATTTTTTTTTAAAAAAACACCCTTTTTGACTATATTGTTGCCAGCTCCAGTGTCCTGTAACAAATCAAACCGCAATTTAGCACAGTGGTCTCCAACCTTTTCAAGCATGAGATCACTTTTTGAATTTAAGTGAAATCCAGGATCTACCTCAAACCCAAACACGCTTGCCCTGCTTCCTTCGCACTCCTTCTCCAAGACCCTGCCCCTGCTTGCGCCATCCTTCCTCCCTCCTCCTCGTCACTCATTTTTATCAGGCTGAGGGCAGAAGGCTGGGGTGAGGGGGAGGGGAATATGGACTCTGATCTTGGGCTAAAGGATTTGGAGGGTGGGAGGGATTCTGAGCTAAGGTAGTTGAGCAGCAGGGGGTGGTGGTTAGGATTCAGGTTCTGGGAGGGAATTTGGGTGCAGGGGGACTCAGGGATAGGGCAGGGGGTTGGGGTGCGGGTGCAGGCGAGGTTCAGGACTGGGGCCGGGGTTTGGATGCAGGCTTCAGCTGGGCACTGCTTACCACAGGTGGCTTCTGGGTCGTGGTGCAGAGGACTAAGGCAGGCTCACCTCTGCTTCCAAAACCAGCCAGCAAAGTCTCTCCAACCCTAAGCTCCTCCCCCCCCTTGCTCTGTGGAGATGGGGTTCAGGGTGGAGGGAGGGGCACCCTGACATCAGCACCCCCTCTTCCTCTTGTTCCTGTGCCCTGCGCAGCAAGTAAGAAGCTCCAAGGACTGGGGGCAGCTCCAAGGCAGAGGGAAGGAGCAGCATGGTAGTGCTGCAAGGGGCAGATGAAGTGCTGGCACTTGATCGCCTCCTAGCCAGACTTGTCAGGATCACCTGCCAGAGACTCCAAACTTTGCCAGTAGATCCCAATCTACTGGTTGGTGACCACTGATTTAGCACAATGCATCTATCAGAACAATAAATATGCCCATGTGAGCCTTGCAATGAAAATGAGCATGTGAGGGAGAATGGGGAAGAGCAAGCAATGGAGAGAGGTGGGGGAAGGACTGAGCAGAGGTGAGGCCTCAGGGAATGGGTGGGGCATTGAGCAGGGCAAGGATGTTCGGTTTTCTGGAACTAGAGAAGTGGCAACCTTGTAGCCTGTGGGGAAAGTAAAGGAGCTGATCCCCAGCAGGCACAAAGAAGGTTTCCCCGTGTTAAAGGCAAATAGCAGTAAGGTGTCTCTCAGCCCTAGGTACCCCCAGGAAGTGTTACAAATACCATCTCTTTACTCCTATTTGATATTTCCCTGCTTATATATCCCAGAATTGCACTGACCCTTTTAACTACAGCATCAGACTAGGAACTCATATTCAATGGGTTACCTACTATGACCCCTCAAGTCCTTTCCAGAGTTGCTGCTTTCCACCATATAGTACCCCACCTCCAAAGTGTGACTTACATTCTTTGTTCCTACACGTATGAACTATGCACTTGCCTGTGTTAAAAACACATTCTGCCAATGAGCCCGTTTTACCAAACGATTTAGATTATTGTGTTTAGCTGCAGTAACCCCCGTCGCTATTTATCATTCCACCAATATTCATGTCAATTGCAAATTTTACCAGTAATTACTTTCTATTTCCTTCCTGCATAAAGACACTGAATAGCACTGGGTCAAGAACAGATCCCCACAAACCCCACATCAGCCACCCCACGAGATTGCAATACTGTGATTTATCAATTAAGCAGCTTTTAATCCACTTAATGTGGGCTACAGTGATTTTGTAGAATGCTATTTATAAATGACTTGGATAGACCTAAAAATATTTTATGTACAAAGTACAAAAATATTTTACATGCTTGTTAGTAATCACATTGATTTTGGTTTGAGTTAATTGCATGAGGGATTCCCTTGAAGTAAGGAAATGTGAAAATAGTGCCTTCCTGTCTTCATAACCTAGTAGGAAGGCTTTTGTCTGTTGGATGAGTGGGAATTATCTAGAAGATGGTTATAGTGTACAGAGGCCTGGTGATAGCACTCATCAAGAATTAAGGACTTAGTAAGAATAAGAAAGGAGTAGAAATTGGCACTTGAAATGATGGTGATTCAGATGGAGAGGCTGGGCTGACACTTGAGCTCTGTGAAATTACCTCTCAATTCATGTTTATTCACATGTAAAAACTTAGATTTCCACAGCTAGTTGTGATTTTGAGTCATTGTGAAAGGCAGATTCTAGGCAGCACAGTGACAATTTATACCTGGGGAAATGTGTATTGTATTTTCTTGACAAAAGCCAGCCCTAACTCTGAAGCAAAGCTTCAATAATATTTTGCATTCCCGAGAAACCATATAAATCTGATTTTTTTTGCCAACAGTGGGAATTTTTATTACATGCCCCTAGCTGCCACTTATGCACATGGAAAGTAACAGTGACACTCACAATTCTTATGCAGGCTTCTTTTTCTACAGGTTTCTGAACTAAAGGTACAGAAAGGCTTGGTCTTCTTGTGCCCCAGGTGGATGGCTAAGGCATACTCTAACCCCCTTTTTAGAAGAGCTTGTTCACGCGGTTTCTCAGATCATGAAAGCATGATTTTATTATTTCAAGATACATACGGAAACATTTTGATTTTGACTATCAGAGGCTTTATCTCTGCTTTGTTTGAACCGAGCCTCTCACCCCAAGTCACACAACTTGACCTATATTATCTCAGTGAGATATCAAGAAAAAGTCAACCTATTTTTCAAAATTGAAAAAAAGAGACATAACAGACATAACACAGTTGATCAGATAGGGAACCTACAGGTATATTTGGAGAACTTCTTGAAAGTGCAGTGTGAAGATTAAAGAGATAAGGGGGTCTTTTAAGTCATCTATTGTCCATATGCACCATCATTATCTAGTAACAACTGAGTCTTTTCCAGGGAAATCAATATTAGCGTGTGGGCTAAGTTCATATTTTATTAATTATCCATAGACCCAGAGTGCAACTTAGCTCAACCATTTAGTGTGGTATTAAGGTGATAAAATCTTTCAGATATAAAATCTTTCTGATCATGGTGCACTGTTACTGGGGCTGCGGCAAAGCCATTTGATAAAAGGATAAAGGAAAGATCCAGGATTCACAGATAAATTACAGGTTTAGCATTTCAAAAGTATTCTGTAGTTTCCAAAAGTGGATGACATTATGAAGAGAAGTAGAAAGCAGGGCTTATTTATGCACTGTTACTTCCATAATCTGCATTATAGCACAGTTGTGTACATAAAAGAACAATTTGTCTCAAGCAGTTTTACTATAAATGGAATGGCACATTGCACTTTACAGAGTGGTGGGAGGTCTGTGTACACAATAATAATTCAAGTCAAGTCTGATGTGTTGAAGGTCATTGTGTTTTTTAAGTGTAACAATATTAATAGTTTGATTTTTTTATTACTAGGTAATATATTATTGCCAGCTATTATCTAATTATATTACAGTGCTGCAATAAACTCAGATGCATCTATGAAAAAAATAAAACTATGGCACAAAGATTTCCAGCTAGTTAATTTATAGGAAGTCATGTCAGAAAAAAATAATGCCTTTTGCAGTAATTAGATACTATAACATTATAATCTCAACATTAAGATGTTTATTCAAAATACATGCACATGTCTTACTACACATCCTAAGATGACAGTGTTACACATCTCGCCAGAACTTCATAAAATCACCTTGAAACCCAGCTCTGAACAGGTAACAGGACAAAGCAACATGTACTAATTTTTAAAATGGAATTTCCATATTCCTCTTTAGATTGCACAGACCTGAGAGGCCCATATGTTATAACTTGACTGATTTTTCCTTTCCTTCTTGTGCTCTTACTGTGAATTGCTGCATCATTTCTGGATAGCTTTTGAGTAGCGATTACATAAAAGTGCATTACTTGACATCTGCTTTTTATCTAAAATCAAGAGCTGAATAAATCTCAGGGCACACTATTTCTGAAGCATCTCAAACTATCATCTGCATCAGGCACTGTCTATGAAAAATACTGATGAGGAGCTGACCTTTTGCAGCTATGACGGACAGTAGTGTGTTGGTCAATGAGTGGGGTAATATATGTGAATTACCCATGTCTTGTGTTTTCTAACACTTTGATTAGACTAGTACAGAAGTCCCAAAAACACATTTTACAGAGCTTTGGTGATAGTCCATTAGAGATCTTTCTGGTCATATGCTGTTGGATCTGTTTCCAAATGAGAGCAGCAGAACGTATTGGCGAGGAAAATGAAAAGCAAAACTACATAATTAACTTTTCCTCCCACCACATACCACAGAGAGCAAAATATGCACCCAATTAAAGACAGGCAAACTACATAAAGCCCAAATATTCATAAACCACAAAAGATTTTGGTTGTTTCAAATTTTGGGTACTCTTAAAGGATCCCAATTTCTGAGTAAGGGCATATCACCTGCAATCCTGAACATCAGCTCCCTTTAAGGTGTCTTGAGGATGGTACCTATAAAGGGGTTCCCAACATCACTTTTGAATATGCAGTCATAATTATTTTCCCAATATTATTTTCCATAGGAGCAATTGTTGTAGTTTCCAAAAAGATGCTATGTTCACTTATATCTATGGGTTGGTCTGCACCTAAAAGCTTTACTAGCTACATCAGTTAGGGATGTGATTTTTCACTGATAGACCACTATGCTGGTAAAAGCTCTAGTGTAGATGCAGTTGTACCATTATAACCAGGTTTATTCCAGTGCCAGTCACAGGAACGAATATCAAATCCTATTAATTTTCGCAGTCATTCCTCATTGCAGCATGACAGATGAAATACACATAGGAAAGAAGAGAGGCAGCTGAGCAAAAGTTGTTATATAGACCTTTTTATGAAGACATCTTTAGTCAGGTCATCCCTGCTGGGTGAAATCCACTCCACTGCACAGCAATGATGTATAGTTCATGCTTAGTGGTTGTCATGTTATTGGATTTTAAAGTGAGCAGACAGATCACTGTTGCACTCACTGGTGGCATATGTCCCAAATTCTGCACAAAGTGGGCCATGCAAGGTGTCAATGAAAGCTTATGCTCTGCTTCTTCTATGTATGATACTCATGTATAATTTTTTTATGTGAAGTAATGAATATGGGCTCTGTTCTTGTATTGTAAATATTCTCTGTCTAGGAGAGAGCAATGGGCATGGACTACCTATTGTTAGAAAGGATTATTCAGTAAATGGCTATGCTTATTAGCCTTGCTTCATAGACAATGGCTCTCAGAGGAGCCAATTCACACCTGAGGAATGTGTCTGGAAACCTGCAGACTGGTCAGTGCATAATGACTACTTGCATGTGAAACACAGATAGGCCATTTGATCATGTGACCAGCTCCAGCTTAGAAGTCACAAGGAATATAAAAATCCCATGAGGCCATCTCCATCTGGTCTTCAATCTTGCTACTGATTCCAGAGGCATCCTTGCTAGGGACAGAAACGGGGAAGGACTTGCTGACCCATCCTAACACAGGATGTACACCAGAGACATTTAAGTTAGCAGTTTGTAACATCTCTGCTAAGTGCCTGCATCAAGAACTTGCTAGTTGATGTATGTAATGTATTCTCCTTAACAATCTTACTCTCAGCCTTTTCTTTCTTTTATTAATAAACCTTTAGATTCTCAAGGACTGGCTCGGTGTGCTCTCATGAGTAAGATCTAAAGTTTAAATTGACCGGGGACTGTGGCTAGTTATTTGGGACCGGGAGGATCTGTTCCGAGTTGGTGAGATCGGGTTTTATAACCTCTCACCTCTGTGTAAGGCCTGGGACTGATTGTGGCACAGGGAGAACTGGAATATCTGAGGGGTTTTGCTCATGAGGCTTCCTGCTGGCCAGATTGGCAGCTGAAGCGCTCTGCGTGACTGGTTTATGGCCTATTTGAGAAAGCTCTCCAGTTGAGGGCTATAAGTAGTCCTGGTTTTGAGCAATTCACCCTGAGCTGATGCCCTCAGCGGTGCCCAGACCCGGTCTGGTCCATCACAGTGGCTGAAAGATTTCACAGATATGCATGGGCAGCTTCAAAATGCCTCAAAGTAAATGAAGAAAGGCCAATGTATCCTTTGCTTATGTGAAAGTAAATACCGAAGGACATCCTCCTTGGAGAAACCTGATGAGAAAATCAAGTGATTGAGAAAAAATTAAGCTTATGGGGCAGGAAACAAAAAATGAGTGAGAGACAGGACAACATTTTGAAGTATCTTTGGGAGGCCATATGGTATTAAGAGTGTATGAATAGTTTTTGTATCATTGTGAGCCAGGGATTGTAAACACTCCGCAGCTGAGATGGATTTTTTGAGTCAGAGTTTAAGGACAAAAAGAAACACCAGACCATCTAGCCTAACATCTATATACCACAGACCACCTATAACACCCAGCATCTGCACACTAAACCCAACAACCAAAATTAGACCAAAGTATTACAGCCCACAAGATATTAAAGTAGAGGGGGTCAAAACATGGTCTAGGAACCAGATCCGGCCTATCTGATATTTCCACCTGGACTACCAGGGTTCCCGGCAATTGAGGAAACTACCGCGGCAGCAGATGGAGTCCTTTAAAATATCACTGAAGCCTAGGGTGGCATGGGCCAGGTAGCACTGAAAGGCTGGCTGGGGAAGGCTAGCCTCAGTGCCAACCATTCCATCTGAGGCTCCACCCCTTCTGGGGTTCTGGAACTGGCCTCCCCTCCACACCTTGCCTAGGATGATACCCGATTTCACTTATCTTATTAATGCACAACAGAGACTTTTTTCTTCACACTGAGTTTCATTTTTTCAATAAAACATTATTAAAATTCATGTCAGTTGTAAGTAAAAATTTAGCGTAAAAGTTATTACAAATTTTACAAGTGTTCACAAAACAGTTTACAATATAATGGCCTTCGAAAGTAAGTTTTGGATAATTGCATATTCAGTTGTTACTCCTAGTAATTACTTTGTTGTGCAAAGAACGTAATGGAGTCTTTTTACAATAAATGGTGAGGCAACTTATTTAATACAGTAGAAATGTGCGACCTGTGATGACTTACCAAAATTCATCGAGTGGCCCCCTTATGAAAATTATTGTCCATTCCTGGATGAAACTCACGTGCCACAGGCAGAGAATATGAAGGACCGAGGTGCACAAGTGCTCAAGACTGTCACTTTGGAAAGAAAATGATTTAGTGAGCTGTGCCATATAATACTGCCAAATATTCCACACCTACACGCTGTAGAGGAAAGTAATCCACAGCCCAAGGTTGCTGACAGTCTGACTTCTGGGAAAATTCCTTCCCAACCCCACATATAGCAATTGGTCAGGCGCTGAGCATGTGAGCAAGAACTAGGGATGTAAAAGACTAGTTATTAGTTGACTACTTAAGATGAACGATGTATTTAATGCAAGCAAGTCAAAAAGATCAAAGAAAACCTTGTTAAAGAGTCAAAAGCTCCTTCCATTAAAGAATTAGTGAGTTTCCAAACCATCATTCTTCATTTTCCAAGTCTCTCTCCAGAAAACAGGAAACATTAAACTAGAGATGTAATAGTATAGTTGATTAACCAACAAGCAAAGCTCATACGTTAATGCTATAGACTACACCATTCTCCTCCACCCGTACCAGTAAATTTTTTAGCAGGCTGGCCAGCAGCCCAGCTTAGTCCCTGCTTGCACTGGGTCCTGAACCTACCCCATTTACTACATTTAAATGGGCAGCTGCGGTGGGGTACGTGCAGTACCCAACGCAAGCTGGAACTCAACAGTCTTGGCTCATGCTGGGTCTGGGACCTACCTCCACTGTGGCTTTCAGTTTAAATGTAGTAGGAGCTGGGCTGCCTGAGTGCCCGGCTCCTACTACATTTAAACTGCAGAGCCGCAGAGGGGGCCTTTATGCGATACAAATTGTATTGAGTGCATAATTAGTCAATTATCTGCTTCTTATCCTTACCAAGAACCAAACAGTCAAGCACTTGAGAGAGAAAATGGTCCACACCACCTCACAGCAGTAGCCCACGCTACCCAATATCCCATGGCCATCCCTGATGCTGCAGAGGAAAATTAAACAAAAAAAATTCTTCCAGAATTCATTGTGGGGAGGAATCCCTTTCTGACCTCTGCTGGTGGCTGGCTGAAACCCTGCAGCACGAGCTTTAGGAACATAAGACATAAACCAGAAGTGAGCCCAAAGGCTATTGAGCATTGCCCACCACCATCATCCATGTTAGACACACCCACTCATACATTTGTTTGGCTTGCTTTTAAAATTAATTACGTTGTTTGTGTCCACAACTCCAATTGTGGGGCTGCTGCAGAACCTCTCCCCTCTGATGGTTAGAAAAGTCTTCTAATTTCAGCCCAGAGTTGTTCATAGCTCTTTGCCCTACTCGGTATTTACTCTCCAAAATGTTTCTAGAAAGCAACCATATCCCCTTCTGCCTTCATTTTGCTAGGCCGTACAAGGAAAGATGTTCCAATCACTTTTCATAAGTCAGCCTCTACATTCCCCTGATTATCTGAGCAGCTCTTCTCTACACCTGTTCCAGACTGAATTCATCTTTTTTGAACATGTGTGACCAGAACTGTAGACAGTATTCTGAATGAGCTTTACCAGTGCCTTTTACAATGGCATTAATACCGCTCTATCTATACCGGAAATACCTTCCCTAACACATATTAGGATCACTCTGGCGGCTCTCAGACATCTTGTGACCGATCCACTTACTCAGATGTCTCTCCTGCTCTGTTGCTTCCAACTGAGAAGCTCCCAGCTTGTAGCAGAAGTTCTTATTAATAGATCTAGGGCTTTTGATTTAATCACAGTTAACTAACAAATTAATCACATTTAAAAATTAATCATTATTAATTGCAGGTTTAATCACACAGTTAAACAATAGAATCCCAATTGAAATTTACTACATATTCTTGGATGTTTTTCTACATTTTTCAATATATTGATTTCAACTACAACACAGAATACAAAGTGTACACTGCTTGCTTTATATTTTATTACAAATATTTGCACTGTAAAAATTATAAACAAAAGAAATAGCATTTTTCAATTCATCTCATACAAAATACTGTAGAGCAATCTCTTTATTGTGAAAGCGCAACTCACAAATGCAGATATTTGTGTTACATAACTGCACTCAGAAACAAAACAGTGTAGGGCCTAAAGTTTTATAAGTCCACTTATTCCTACTACTTCTTCAGCCAATCACTGAGACACAGAATTTGTTGATATTTACGGGTGATACTTTGTCCACTTTACAATGTCAGCAGAAAGTGAGACTAAGCATACATGGGACTTTTGTAGCTGGCATAGCAAGGTATGTACAGTGTCAAATAGGCTAAGCATTAGTATGTCCCTTTGTGCTTCAGCCACCATTCCAGAAGGCATGCTCCCATGCAGATTACACTCACCAAAAAAATAACATGTAAATTAAATTTGTGACTGAACTCCTTGGGGGACAATTGTATGTCTTTAGCTCTGTTTTACCCACACTCTGCCATATACTTCATATTATAGCAGTCTCAGATGATGACTCAGCACATATTGTTTATTTTTAAGAACACTTTCACTGAATATTTGTCAAAATGCAAAGAAGTTATCAATGTGAGATTTCTAAAGATAGCTACAGCACTCAACCCAAGGTATAAGAATCTAAAGTGTCTCTCAAAGCCTAACAGGGATGAGAGTAGAGCATGCTTTTGGAAGATTGGAAAAAGACAAATGTAGTGCTCACCTTTAAAAAAAAGGGAAGAAGGACAATCCACGGATCTTCAGATCAGTCAGCCTCACCTCAGTCTGTGGAAAAATCACGGAGGAGATCCTAAATTATTCCATTTTAAAGCACTTGGAAGAGAAGAAAGTGATCCCGAACAGTGAACAGGGATTGACCAAGGGCAAGTCATGCCTGACCAACCTGACTACCATCTTCCCCGTATCCACAGAGCCAGTTACCTCATCATGGAAGCAGACATGATATACATTGACTTTGCTAAAGTTTTTTATACAGTCTCCCATTGTATTCATGCAAACAAGGTAAGGAAGTATGGACTGGATAAACAGACTGTAAGGTGGGTAGAAAGCTAGCTAGATCATCAGGCTCAACGGGTAGTGATTAATGGTTTGATGTCTGCTTGACAGTCAGTATCACGTGGAGTGCCCCAAGGTTGTGTTCAATATCTTTATTAATGACCTTGATGAAGGGATGAATTGCACCCTCATTGCTGATGACACAACCTAGAGGGAGAGGGAGATATGCTGGAGGGTAGGGACAGGGACCAAAGCAAGCTAGACAAATTGGAAGACTGGGCCAAAAGAAATCTGATGAGGTTTGACAAGGACAAGAACAGAGTCTTGCACTTGCAACAGAAGAATCCCAAGCACTGCTACAGACTGGAGACCAACTGGCTAAGAAGCAGTTCAGCAGAAAAGGACCTGGGGGTTACAGTGGATGTGAAGCTGGACATGAGTCAACAGTGTGCCCTTGTAGGCAAGAAGGCTAATGGCATATTAGGGAGCATTAGGAGGAGCATTGCCAGCAGATCTAGAGAAGTTGTTATTCCCCTTTATTTGGCACTTGAGGCCATATCTGTGGTACTGCGTCTAATTCTGGGTCCATCAGAGAGCAACAAACATGATTGGGGGCTGGAGCACATGACTTGAGGAGAGATGGAGGGATCTGGGCTTATTTCCTCTACAGAAGAGAAGAGTGAGGGGAAATTTGATATCAGCCTTCAGTTACCTGAAGGGGGGTTCCAAAGAGGATGGAGAGTGACTGTTCTCAGTAGTGATGAATGACAGAATGATGAGCAATGGTCTCAAATTGCAGTGGGGGGGAAGTCTAGGTTAGTTTTTCCTAATATCCACTTTACTAGGAAGGTGATGAAGTACTGGAATGGGTTATCTAGAGAGGTGGTGGAATCTCCATCTCTAGAGATTTTTAAGTCCTGGCCTGACAAAGCCCTGGTTGAGATGATTTAGTTGGGACTGGTCCTGCATTTAGCAGGGGGTTGGACTTGATGACCTCCTGAGGTTTCTTCCAACCCTATGATTCCGAGTCTTAAAAGAGCAATACTCCAATGCAGAAACTATAGAACCCAAACCACCAAAAAATAAAATCAACTTTCTGCTGATGGCATCTGATGAAGTGAGATTAACCCATTGTCAGTGTAAAGAACCTCAGATGAACAAAGGATCCACTGCCAGAGCTCTGTGAAGCTAAGTGGGGAGGGCTGGACCCTGAATCAGCAGGCTACATGTCCTGCAGGATGAGCTGTAAGACTGATTCAACATGTTTCTCCCCACTGTTTCAATGATAGAGTTAAAATAGGCTCCATAAGGAGTCTCTTTTGTTATTTTAATTTTACTCCAGTGGATGCAGAAATTTCTTGTGGCTGGACTTTGCTTTGGGCCAAGAGCCGAAGACACTGAGAACTGAAATCATTGGGTTTTGCCCAGAATCAAAAACACAACAAGCTGGCGGAAGCAGCAAGCAGTTGGCTGGTAGGCACAGCAGAAAGCAAGCGGCTGACAGGGCAGCCAGCAGAGCGGCAATGGAATGGTGGTGGCATGGCCAGCAGAGTGGTGACGAGTAGCCAGCAGAGCAATGTTGGTGTGATGAGTGGCCAACAGAGTGGCAGTGGAAAGTAGTGAGCAGGCAGATGGCAAGTGACCAGCGGAGTAAGATGCCTCTTTACCTCCCCCGACTCAGGATGGGCGGTGAACTCTGGGGATGCATTTCTGAACTCTGGGTCTGCTCTGACCAAGGGCAGTGACTGTGAGTGGGGTATACAGAAGGGTTGGTCCAGTGAAAGGGACTTTTAGATTGCTAGACTTAAGAACCTGATGGGAGAACATTGCCAAACCTACACAGGGAGGGACTTTTACTCGTGGTTTTGGTTATGAACTCTGTTTGTGGTGTTTTCTCAAATTAATGCCACGTTATACTTCCCTTCCTTTTTTTAAAAGTTTCATTTCTACACACAGACTCTGTGCTTGTGAGTGAGGAAAAATTGCCTCTCAAAGGTGCTTGGGATGGTGTGTGAATTTCTCAGATTACTGGGTGGGGACTTGAGCCAATTCTGTGCTGGATAGATAGAGAGGAAGCCCTAGACATTGAACATGTCCCTGGCTGCTACTGGCTCTCCCTGGCAGAAGAGTTACATTTGCAAGAATGCTTATTTACATTATCGTTGCTTTGAAGTTACGCCTCTGTCTTTTTTTGCTCCTGTCTATCTCCACTTTCCTATCTGTATGCAAGTCACTTTCCACAATTCTGTAAAGCATTATCTCATTATTCTATCTCTCACTGCTGAGCATTTCAGAAACGGCGTGTGAAAGATGAGATATAAAAATAAATTGAATTGGAATACATGATGCTAAGATCTTCAGAGAGATGCAGGCCTGCACTTAAACTGACTTCATTCATAGCGCATATGTAATCTGACAGCTACTGGCAACATTTGCCAGTGTTGCTCATGTCATACATCAAAAAGATTAATATAAGTGAATTAAAGTTTTAACCATTCCTGATATTTTGACCTAGAAACCAGACGCGTGGCCACATAGTTGCTGGTCTATTATTAACAAATCTGACAAAGAAACACTTGGATGAGCGGGAATTATACTTTGTGACCTGTTTAACCTTGAGAATAAGTTTAATGGGTCTCATGTCTTGTCCAACATACTTGGGCAGCAGTCTCAATACTAGCCAGCATTTATGAAACATAGAAAGAAGTTTATAAAACCTGTATGAGATTACCTGTATGACCGTCAGATCAAAACATACCTTCAGTGCATCATGGATCATTTTTAAACAGGAGTAAGTGTCTCCTGTGGAGCTCTGAAATCTCTATGTTGACTCATGAATGGCTAATCAAGGAGGCCAGCAGCCAGTATAGTAGCCCTGTTAGGTAGAAGGCATTTGAAGTTGACTTTTTTTCTGCTAAGGAGAGGTGAGAAAGATCTAGATAGCATAGAGGCAACTTGGTAAGAAAGAGCTAAGTTGCTCCTTGGTGGCACAGAAAAATATCCTGGCATGTTACACCTCTTGCTGCTAATTTCAAATGCTACTGCAGTGGAATTAATAGTTTTTAATTTTTATGACACACATTTTATCCAATCCCGCAAACACACAGATGGGTAGTTTCACCGCAGCAAGCAGAACAGCAAGCAATAAGTGTCTGTAGCTTTGGGACTTATAATTGGTTCATTTAACAGAAAAAATATTTAACCAAAGAAAACACCAACGAATGTTCTCTTTCCAAAAGTAGTCATCCAAATTTAAACTAAACAGACAAATTTAGAGTATATGCTATTTTTTCAGTGACAAATGAAACCCTGAAAAATGATTGGCATAAACGAAACCCTGAAAAATGGTAAGAACAAACACCGAATACTGGAGATCCTTTTAATCTCCTAGAAGCTTATGTCATAATAAAATTGTTAGACTTTAAAGTGCCACTGTACTCCTTGTTGTGTTTACTTAAACAGACAAACAAAGTTACCTCTCTGAAAGAACATTATTATGATTTTATCCCATCAGCCACAGACCAAAAGTAAATGTCAGATTTTGTCTTTAATTATATAGCAAAAGGCACGCTAAGAAATGAACGCTCACAAAATATGACTCAGAACTGGTCAGGGTTTTAGTTACACTGGACCTATAAAGCATCTCGCTACACCAAATGTATTTTGTGACTGTTCTGAACCATATTAGGTCTTTTTAAGTAAAAATACTTCACTGTTTAGCCCATCTGTCCTAAGGGAAATAAGATGGCAGAGATCTATCTGCTTTCTTGGATGACTAGAGTGGAAAGGATGAAACTTCGACTACATGACAACTCACAACTGTAATGATATAATAAACTCTAATTGACATATGAAAAGAAAGAATATGCAGAAGATCACTGTATATCCTCCTGACATGCTAAATGTTACCTATCTTGAAACTTCATCATGACATGGAGGAACACGAGCTTGATTTTGAAAGATACCTTTTTAGGTGTTATATTTTAAAACATACATTTATGTAGAAAAAAATAGAACACTATTTTCAACTTCTGAAATTTAAAAAAAAAATTTTTTTTTAAGCCTGCCACAATGAAACACTTGTAAAACTTTCTAATAACGTAGCAAGAACACGGCAATAAGCAACAGCACTACTGAAATCTCTGCTCACAATAGTCTGTCTCATGCAAAAAATTGGCAGTTTAGAGTGAATCTCCATTTAGAAGTCATTTACCAAGGAATCTGCAAACTTTAATTCATCATTTGACATGATGAAAGATTCCAAATAGCCACAAAAAATTGAGAGATTATGTGCATCCTGGAGAAAAGAAGCATTTTATCTATATTTATATTAATTATCAATCATTTTTGTACATTAATTTTCTAGGTTTAAATTATAGAGAAGCTAAAAACACATGGCGTAAGTACCAATTTCATATATTCCACTAATAACTTTGCAACTTGTCACCATCTAGGAATGTGCATGTAATGTATTAGTTAGTATGAATTAATGGCTCCCAGTTATTATAAATCTGATACATTATCCATAAGTATGCATGGAAGCTGCAAAATTTAATCCTGCAACATCCTGATCTCTGTCTGCTTAAGTCTAGTGTGGAAAAGCAATTTGGAATCTTCTTTTTTGCTCCTGTTTATGTGTGGCCTTTCAGTTAGCCTCAGGTTGTGGACAAGCAAGATGAGAGCCTATCTGCAGAGTCAGGAGTGCCACTCCAAGACTCGCTCTATCGACCGGAGTTTACATCACCATTTGACAGCTTGCCATACAGAGACGAATGAATTTTAGGACATAAGTTAATGAAGGAAGCTAGCCCAGGGGATACAAGAATTCACATAATGCTATTTGCAGAAATTATATTAAAATGGATTTGGTATTCATAAATAATGAATGGCAACAAAAAATCTTTACCTACTAGAAATACAATTTTTGAACCTTTAAAAATGCAGTCCTCTTTATTTCCCTGGCTAGAGCATGCTGAAACTCAAACATTTGTTTGTTTGTTTTTCAAAAGGACATTTATTCATTGAAATGAGTTTGCAACTAGCATTATACAGGTTTCTGTTTCTTCTAAAATGACTTGAATTTTACAAACACAGTGTCAGTCTGCTGCGCTTACTCATGCTGCTTGTATACTTGACTCACAATTTGTTCCACTGATTCCAATAAAACCACTCATGGAATACATATCACCCAATGTGGATAAGGATGGACAAATCTGTCCTGAGCTAGTATACCAAAGGAACATTATTTTATACTCATCTCTAGTTAAGGATTTTACTTTTTAAAATTAATTTTTATTAACATAAGATTAACTCAATTTCATACTACTATATGGAAACAACATGGCTGTGTCTACATTGGCAAGATTTTGCCACCTGTCTACACTAGCCGCGAGTATTTGCGCAAGAACACTGACGTTGTAATGTACAAAATCAGTGCTTCTTGCGCAAATACTCTGACGCTCCCGCTCAGGGATAAGTCTTCTTGCGAAAGTGTTCTTGCGCAAGAGGCCAGTGTAGACAGGTAACATCAATTTCTTGCGCAAGAAAGCCTGATGGCTAAAATGACCATCGGAGTTTTCTTGCGCAAGAGAGCGTCTAGACTGGTATGGATGCTTTTGCACAAAGGCACATGCCAGTATAGACGCTCTCCTGTGCAAATACTTTTAATGGAAAAACTCTTCTGTTAAAAGTATTTGCGCAAAATCATGCCAGTGTAGACGTAGCCCACCTGAATACTAACAAAGCGACTTAGATTTCCACTGATATTTGGCTAATGCACCCTTAACAGGGAGTAAGGACCCTGCTCCTGCCAACTTCCCCATATTTCCTGAGTGAGTTATTCAGACATTGGGTCCTGGAGCATAAGAGTAATATTCCCTCCTCACATCAGCTGGGAAGGGAATGAAAATTACGATACCTCAGGAGCAAGGAAGAAGCTTGGGGAGAAACTGTGTCATGGTGTATCTGTGAGTCAAATCATCTCCTATTGCAGGGCCTCAAGTCATACTCTATCCCTCAGCCCTTGTCTATACCACCACAGGCCATCAATCTAAGTTACACAACTTCGGCTACATCAATAATGATGTATTTAGGTCTGCTTACCACAGTATCTTCACATTGGTAAGTCAACAGCTGACGCTTTTCCGTTGACTCCACTTACCCCTCCCATTTTGATGTAGTACCAGAATCGATAGGACAGCACTTGGCAGTTGCTTTATCGCATCTATTACGGGTGTTAGAAATAGTTTATTTTAGTATTCATGTAGCCGCAACAATTCTTAGCAGTTACAAGGTTACTAAATTCTCCCTCTAGGGGTGGGGCTGGCAGTCAGTGTGCTCCTGGACCCACTTCTGGGGAGCCCCGTTACCCTGCATTGCTGCCTCTGTATCAAAGGCAGCAGCAAGGCAGGGTGGCAGGTGGAGTCAGTCTGCAAGAGGAGTTAGTTTAAAAATCTGAATCAAAGGTAGCAGTGCAGGGTGGCAGGCAACTCCCCTGCATGCTCTTCATTTAATACTCGGACGGGCAGGGACTGAATCAGCTGGAGGTCTGAGTTTTAAATGCAGCACACATGGGGGTGGGCATTGTGGTTAACCAGGATAGTTAACCGATAAGCAATCTCTTATCAGTTAACCCGCCAAAAAGCACTAACATATATATTAGATGCGAGAAATTGATTCCTACTAGAGGAATCACTGCTCATTGATCCAACCCACAATAAAGACATGTCCTTGGTGTTTATTATTTCCCTGCCCACTGGAATGAGCAACAAAATGTTTAGTCAAATCAAGAGTATGTCTACACCACAAAGTTAATTCGAACTAACGGACGTTAGTTCGAATTAACTTTGATAGGCGCTACACAAGCGCTCCGCTAGTTCGAACTTAATTCGAACTAGCGGAGCGCTTAGTTCGAACTAGGTAAACCTCATTCTGCGAGGACTAAGCCTAGTTCGAACTTACTAGTTCGAATTAAGGGGTGTGTAGCCCCTTAATTCGAACTAGTGGGAGGCTAGCCCTCCCCAGCTTTCCCTGGTGGCCACTCTGGCCAACACCAGGGAAACTCGTCTGCCCCCCTCCTGGCCCCGGACCCCTTAAAGGGGCATGGGCTGGCTACGGTGCCCGTGCCAGGTGCAAGCCT